CCTATTATTCTGTTATTCTGGGACGCGGGAGCATCAGCTCTGCCCTCGCAGACCCCCCGTGCCCGGCGGCCGCTCCCCGGCCCCGCGGTCCCCGTGCGGGCTTGGCTGCAGGGTCCGACTGCCTGGGTTAGGAGTTTCTGCGAGTTTCTGACGTCGATCTTCCCCCTGCAGCCCCTCAGGCCTCCGAGGAGGAGTCGATCGAGAACCAGATGGGAAAGGCTGTGGGGAAGAGCGACGTCTGGTTCCGCTTTAACGAAGGGGTTTCCAACGCCGTCAGGAGGAACATCTACGTCAGGGACCTGCTCTAGCAGCGGCGATGGCCGGGAAATCACGTAGGCAGAACCGAAGGGATGAGCTGGCTGGACTTCTGACCCAGAGAAAGGGTGCGCAATCCTCGTTTGTTTTTTTTTAGTACCCACTTGTTTTGTTTAGAAAAAAAGTAAAAAATACATATAAAAAATTAATCAGGAAGTCTTGTTCTGTTTATTTCATTTATAAACCCTTAGTTGTCGTATTTTGCCTGTTTTGCTGCATAATTATATCCTACATTATACAAAGGAACATTTAAAATCACTAAAAGTATTTTATAAAAGCTGTCTACAAGTTCAGATGTCTGCCAGCTCGATGGCCCGGGGTGGCAGAGGGGAGCTGAGGTCCGCGCCCAGGAACTGCAGCCTCGCTGCCCACCCGCTGTCTTCGCCCTGTTCTCCCCCCCCCTATAAAAAGAAACATTTCTACTGAAAATAAGACGAGGGCAGGGTCTGTGTTCAGGTGGTCCTATTCAGCAGCGAGCTAAGAAAAAGGGCAGGGTGCATCTCAGAGGAGGGTGCATTTGCCCTTCTCCACCCAGGGGTTGTTTTTCATCAGCTCCGGGTTGAGGAAGGGATCCTCGGGAGTGCCGTCCTCGATCCACTTCACGAACCTGCGGGGACGGGAGAGGGGGGGGGGCACGGGCCCTGCCCGCAGCGGCTTCGCCCCGCGCCCAAGCCCGCTGCGAAGGGGGAAAAGGGGCTTCCCCTCGCGCCCAAGCCTGCTGCGAAGGGGTCACCCTCAGCGGGGACCCCGGCAGCAAAATAGGGGGTCTGGGGGTGGGATGCGCAGTGCCGGGCGTAGGTCTCGGTGTGGTGGGGAGCGATGCCGGGGTGCACCCTGCTCTGGCAGGCGGGGATGTTGGGGTGCACCCAGCTCGGGGGTGCAGTGATGCTGGGGTGCACCCTGCTCTGGCAGGCGGGGATGTTGGGGTGCACCCTTCTCCAGGGTGCAGCAATGCTGGGGTGCACCCTGCTCTGTCAGGCAGTGATGCTGGGGTGCACCCTGCTCTAACAGGCGGGGATGTCGGGGTGCCCCCTGCTCTGGGGTGCAGCAATGCCAGGGTGCACCCTGCTCTGGCAGGCAGGGATGTCGGGGTGCACCCAGCTCTGGGTGCAGCATGTGAGCCCCCCTGCACC